TCAGTTTTGAGAATGAATTTAAATTGATATCAAGTTGTTACCACTCACTTTTCTTAAGAGCAAAAAAACCAAGTTGGTATTGAAAGTTAATGCAATAACCCAAATATATCGAGTAAACCGAAGAAATATAGATTGTCCCTACATAGGATGAATACTAAATACTACATAGATTTTTCCCACAGAATGAGCTAGACCGCCTTCGGATGATTAAGTTATAAATTTAGGCGATACACATCGTTTAGGCACGCGTTTTGAAGCCTGAATGAACCCTGTACCAGCTGCTGAAGAGTTCGTAGGCCTTTTGAGGCGTGTTTTAAAAATATAATTTGGAAAATTTAAACATTGTGTGTTGAGGTCGAGTTGCAACAGGCAGGTGAATTGTACATGTCGCATACGTGTGACAGGGGTAACACAAGGACAACCGATTTAGCTTTGATTCTTACTTTACTTCACAACGCACAATGCACTACTCAAGAATTCGCCTTTAAGTTGCACCTGTGCAGTCACCGCTCCTAAGCTTCCAAATGTATCGGAACGGGTCGTGATTGTTAGATGTCTCTCAGCGAAGCTAGTGGAGTGCGAGTCAGTTGAAGAAGTAAGCATGCAAATTCGCATTATTAATTTGTCCCCTTCAGATCCCTAAGACCGAACTGATTTGATACGACTTTTACGACCCACGGAATTAATATTCTAATAAATCCCGCCACATAAACTTTGAGGGAAGGCGCCCTCCACCCTTAACCATAAGGGGGACGCAGAGCTCCGGGAGGAGGGGGGAGAGAGGAAAGTAGGAGGAGGAGAAGGGAGAGAGGAGGGCTGCGTCGGTAAGCTCAGCTGACGCGTGTCTCACAGAGAAGGTAAACCTGCCTCCATGACTGACTTTTTAATGCTATGAGGGCTGAGGCTCTTTTACAGCATTATTGTCACCACATTGTTGCTTAATGTTCCTAAAAACCAGTTACAACACAATAAAAACGCCGTGTACGTGTTGTTGCTGTAAGACTACCCAACAGCCAAATGAGGTCTTAAGAGTGTTTTTAAGACAAATAAGGTAGGGAGGGTGTAAGTAGTCAACGGTGCTCACAGTACCTCCATTCTTAATTAGCTTTATCAGCATGTAGCAACTCATTTTTCACAATTTTTGGCTTCCATAACCCAGTATTTAACTCGTATTTCCACGATTAATTTTGATAAAATCACATTAATGATAAAACATAATGCAAATTTAAACATTGACCAAGCAATGATGCAGTCGGGGAGCGTCAGTTAATGCTCTCAATTAAGCGTGGCCTACTGAAGATAACTTGGCTTCGGTAAGGATCCTCTAATTAAGATCAACTACCGCGCGCCGAATGGTTTAAAATGAGCGTCTGGGCAGACTTCAGACAGTGACATTATACAACATCTCCAATTTTCTGCACATATTGCAATTCTATTGAAAAGGTGTAGTTTTGTGCTCGTAACTTACAGATGAGGAGGAGCAATGCAGAGCCTTGAGCCTTCGCACCGAATAATCCAATTGCATGTGCTATTAAACTTTATTACAACTTGTATTTCAAGTTGGTGCTGTCAACCGACAGCAAAGCTGTTCCAATACCACATTCACTCTCGCTCGTCTGTTTCCAAGATGAGTCTGTATTGTGTTGTAGCAACTCCGCAACATCGCATTCGTTTACACAGAAATATTAAACCACATTAAAAAAGTGTGACGTGACTGCCAACAGTGACATACACTTAAAGCAAGCAGTTACTTCAGCCTTCAGCCGATTCCGCAAAGCGTTTTACGACAGTAAGCCGAAATTTGCATGGTAGAATGTTTGTTCTCGAAAAGTAAATAAGTTAAATAGTTAGTGCATGCTTTGTTGTTGAAAAACAAGTCTTTTCAGTACCAGTAATTTTAGAGGCTCAAATCTCAAAAGAAGTCGTGAACTTGAAAGACATTGTATGAGTACGTATTAAGTGGGATCGACTCACCTGGGGCAAGTATGTCACAATATAAATCATCATGATGGCCAAGAGCATATGAGTGGTGCGACTGTGCGATCGTTCCCTCAGTCTGTCCGTCATAATCACTCTTTCCAGTGGATTTGTTGCCGCCTCGTTCCATTCATTGTCTGACTTTACGCTTGCCAATATCCTAGTCTCTTCCACAGTACCGTTATCTCCACCGACCGGTTTTCCAGACGTCTTCCTCTTCTCAGCCGTTCGCCTTTGTGTTCGCGCCCGCTGGTGAATGCTCACGACAAGGAGGGAAGACAGTGTAATCATGCTTGTGAGTGGCAAAAGCTTGACAAAGACAGCAGTTGTCCAGTATACCAATACGCGCAACATCATATTATCCACATAGTTAACAGTGTACATTTGCGTGAGGTTCATGTGCTGCACTGAAATCAATTCCAAATCTCCTGGACCCAAATCGGAGTTTGCTGACTCCACGTGGTGCGAGATCATGCAGGGGATAGTAAAAAAGCAAGCGGTTAGGAGAACTATGAGAACAGCAAGTTCGGCGCGCCGCTGACTACAGAGCTGTTGGCACTTAAGAAGGCAACGAGCGTAGAGGAGACGGAAGACTGCAAGGGTGATGATGATACCACAGGAGAAGATATGGAGAATATTTTGGAGATTTACGTGCACAAGAAGGTACACTGCCATAGGGTACGGCAAAGAACGCATTCTACCACCGATTACAAAATAGGAGACAAAAATTACATAGAGAAACATAAGACAGGCATCGGAAATGGCGAGACAGGTAAGTAGGAAGTTGGTGGAGGTGCGCATGCGTCGTTGATTGAGAACGACGATGTTGAGAAGGTTGGAGAGCACTCCTAGAGGGCACCAGAAGAGCATCAGGTAGACATGAATCATTCCATAAATTCGATGAAACTCTACCAGAGTGGGAATAGGTGTGCATTCGGTAAGCACCTCCGGTTGTTCCGCGATGTCCAAGTTTGTCATGTTCGTAATCACTGAAAAAAAAATCAAGAATAGTCAGTTCTCGTATTCAAGCATCCCTATGCTGCCAAGTTAAGGTTCGCTTCGGTTAATTGCACAGCATTAAATAACTTGAGCAGGCCTTCAAAGCACTTCTCCATCCACACCACAACAACAGCATGGAAATGAACAGCTAACATCTCTGTTGGTGTGAAGCAACTCCCATGCACGTGTGAGATGACTGACGATAATTAAAGCTGTACAAGACTATACGAGGTATATCAAAACAAGATTCGTTGTTAACTGGTGTGCAATTGCGTAAAATTTAACGATAATATTATAAAATGGATAGGTCAGCTTGCATTATTAGCGAATAGCAGCCACTAAAGGCAAAGAAGAGCTGCGTGTTTGAAAGTTTAATACCTTCTAACCGCAAAATAGGCCGTTTTTCCCAGAAAACCCACTTACGCGCAAATACCACCACAAGCTATGATTTTAGAGGTCCAAATGAAATACTATTTTTTAGTGAATTCCAATTAATCTTTTGGACTAACTTTATAAAGTCAAGTAGTTTAATTCGATTCTAC